TATACAAAAGTTAGGACAAGTACATGTTTCTATTTTTTTATATACTGTTGCAATAATTCAAAGTAGTTCCTAACATTTAAAATTTTACTGTAGATGAGAGTCAATACGTCTATTTCCAAACACCCCCATCAAAAAGTGTAGTTAGCCTGGCTGTACTGCACATCTGCAGCATAATTTTATTATGTTATGTGACGCAGTAAAATGCATTTGCATAAAAAAATTCCGATAAGTCGTCAAAAAATCTGGGTTATACCATGGGCTTTCAACTAGAAAGCTCATGGTTATACTTACTCACTTCGAGAGCCATGTTAGATTTTGAAACTTGTGGCTCTCCAATGAAGAAATGCACAGCTGAATAATAGTGACCTTTGAAACATGAATTAAGTTGATCCGGGGCTTACTTTTGTTTTCTATAAACTATGTCATCAATCATTATCATCCTTCCATGCAAGTATTGGAGCGCTGAAGTACTTCCTTTTCGATCAAGACTTGTAATTGTTAGTCGAGTGAATGTTTTTTCTGCCAAATTCAAATATGGCATTTTCTGCTCGGACATTTTCGTAAATCTCCTGAGGTTGTCCGAACCTAACTCATTCTCAAAATTTATTTTGTTCGTTGCGTATCTCGCTCCTAGCAAACCGCCATATTGCAAATAGAGGTAACTTTAACTTCTGTTTGGAGTCCTACAACGCTAAGAGTAGAAGCTATTGAAAACGGCGTGGGGGTATCAATCCAAAATGTACCATTTCTTTTATTTCTTTTTAGTGGTACAATATAGTGACACAATAATATTTACATATGTCTTCAGCATAACTCTGAAGGTATTAATGAGATCTTGATGTATTGGATATTTTTAATATTTTTTATAAAAAATAATGTTTAATTTTTTTGTCAGCTGTGACGGAGCAGTTTTAACTGTAAACTACGTTTTTACCAGCCTGTGGGTGATGATGAAGAGAAGCAATCAGTTCAATTAGAAAAAATAAGAGTTACTCATGAATGGGACTCTTATGTTCCTTCTAGATGGTAGTAACCACTTAATGTTATGGTGTTTCATAATTTACCAAGTCTATCAGAATAAGCTGTCCCTGAGCCCATGTGTCACCTTGGAAATTTTATGCAAAATGATCAATGTGAAGTGACTTGGTAAGTTATGATATACCCTAAGGAATGTAACCAGTTAAACTTAATGTTGTCCACATAGAGCATGAGTAGAGTACTTATTTATAATGCTACACTGTCCAGTAATTATTTAAATTTAACTTCACAGGAGAGTGTTAAATGGCAGAGATCATATGGGAGAGCATCTCGTACAGTTAACATTGAGGCCAACTTTGCACCATTCAACTCAGATATATAACTGGTTGTGTCCTTTTAATATATTGTAGGTCGTGGAGATCAGTCCTTGTTTTCCTCTCTTCATCCTGCAGTTGTGCAGGGATTACCACGAGAGAGTGTTAAATGGCAGAGATCATATGGGAGAGCATCTCGTACAGTTAACATTGAGGCCAACTTTGTACGTGCCATTCAACCAAAATATATAAATGGTTGTGTCCCTTTTATATATTGTAGGTCATGGAGATCAGTCCTTGTTTTCCTCTCTTCATCCTGCAGTTGTGCAGGGATTACCACGAGAGAGTGTTAAATGGCAGAGATCATATAGGAGAGCATCTCGTACAGTTAACATTGAGGCCAACTTTGTGCCATTCAACCCAGATATATAACTTGTTGTGTCCCTTTAATATATTGTAGGTCATGGAGATCAGTCCTTGTTTTCCTCTCTTCATCCTGCAGTTGTGCAGGGATTACCACGAGAGAGTGTTAAATGGCAGAGATCGTATGGGAGAGCATCTCGTACAGTTAACATTGAGGCCAACTTTGTACGTGCCATTCAACCAAAATATATAAATGGTTGTGTCCCTTTAATATATTGTAGGTCATGGAGATCAGTCCTTGTTTTCCTCTCTTCATCCTGCAGTTGTGCAGGGATTACCACGAGAGAGTGTTAAATGGCAGAGATCATATGGGAGAGCATCTTGTACAGTTAACATTGAGGCCAACTTTGTGCCATTCAACCCTGATATATGAATGGTTGTGTCCCTTTAATATATTTTAGGTCATGGAGATCAGTCCTTGTTTTCCTCTCTTCATCCTGCAGTTGTGCAGGGATTACCACGAGAGAGTGTTAAATGGCAGAGATCATATGGGAGAGCATCTCGTACAGTTAACATTGAGGCCAACTTTGTACTATTCAACCCAGATATATAAATGGTTGTGTCCCTTTAATATATTGTAGGTCATGGAGATCAGTCCTTGTTTTCCTCTCTTCATCCTGCAGTTGTGCAGGGATTACCACGAGAGAGTGTTAAATGGCAGAGATCATATGGCAGAGCATCTCGTACAGTTAACATTGAAGCCAACTTTGTACCATTCAACCCAGATATATAAATGGTTGTGTCCCTTTAATATATTGTAGGTCATGGAGATCAGTCCTTGTTTTCCTCTCTTCATCCTGCAGTTGTGCAGGGATTACCACGAGAGAGTGTTAAATGGCAGAGATCATATGGGAGAGCATCTCGTAAAGTTAACATTGAGGCCAACTTTGTACTATTCAACCCAGATATATAAATGGTTGTGTCCCTTTAATATATTGTAGGTCATGGAGATCAGTCCTTGTTTTCCTCTCTTCATCCTGCAGTTGTGCAGGGATTACCACGAGAGAGTGTTAAATGGCAGAGATCATATGAGAGAGCATCTCGTACAGTTAACATTGAGGCCAACTTTGTACCATTCAACTCAGATATATAAATGGTTGTGTCCCTTTAATATATTGTAGGTCATGGAGATCAGTCCTTGTTTTCCTCTCTTCATCCTGCAGTTGTGCAGGGATTACCATGAGAGAGTGTTAAATGGCAGAGATCATATGGGAGAGCATCTCGTACAGTTAACATTGAGGCCAACTTTGTACCATTCAACTCAGATATATAAATGGTTGTGTCCCTTTAATATATTGTAGGTCATGGAGATCAGTCCTTGTTTTCCTCTCTTCATCCTGCAGTTGTGCAGGGATTACTACGAGAGAGTGTTAAATGGCAGGGATCATATGGGAGAGCATCTCGTACAGTTAACATTGAGGCCAACTTTGTACTATTCAACCCAGATATATAAATGGTTGTGTCCCTTTAATATATTGTAGGTCGTGGAGATCAGTCCTTGTTTTCCTCTCTTCATCCTGCAGTTGTGCAGGGATTACCACGAGAGTGTTAAATGGCAGAGATCATATGGGAGAGCATCTCGTACAGTTAACATTGAGGCCAACTTTGTACTATTCAACCCAGATATATAAATGGTTGTGTCCCTTTAATATATTGTAGGTCGTGGAGATCAGTCCTTGTTTTCCTCTCTTCATCCTGCAGTTGTGCAGGGATTACCACGAGAGAGTGTTAAATGGCAGAGATCATATGGGAGAGCATCTCGTACAGTTAACATTGAGGCCAACTTTGTACGTGCCATTCAACCAAAATATATAAATGGTTGTGTCCCTTTAATATATTGTAGGTCATGGAGATCAGTCCTTGTTTTCCTCTCTTCATCCTGCAGTTGTGCAGGGATTACTACGAGAGAGTGTTAAATGGCAGAGATCATATGGGAGAGCATCTCGTACAGTTAACATTGAGGCAAACTTTGTGCCATTCAACCCAGATATGTAAATGGTGGTGTCCCTTTAATATATTGTAGGTCATGGAGATCAGTCCTTGTTTTCCTCTCTTCATCCTGCAGTTGTGCAGGGATTACCACGAGAGAGTGTTAAATGACAGAGATCGTATGGGAGAGCATCTCGTACAGTTAACATTGAGGCCAACTTTGTACCATTCAACCCAGATATATAAATGGTTGTGTCCCTTTAATATATTGTAGGTCATGGAGATCAGTCCTTGTTTTCCTCTCTTCATCCTGCAATTGTGCAGGGATTACCACGAGAGAGTGTTAAATGGCAGAGATCATATGGGAGAGCATCTTGTACAGTTAACATTTAGGCCAACTTTGTACCATTCAACCCAGATATATAACTGGTTGTGACCCTTTAATATATTGTAGGTCATGGAGATCAGTCCTTGTTTTCCTCTCTTCATCCTGCAGTTGTGCAGGGATTACCACGAGAGAGTGTTAAATGGCAGAGATCATATGGGAGAGCATCTCGTACAGTTAACATTGAGGCCAACTTTGTACCATTCAACCCAGATATGTAAATGGTGGTGTCCCTTTAATATATTGTAGGTCATGGAGATCAGTCCTTGTTTTCCTCTCTTCATCCTGCAGTTGTGCAGGGATTACCATGAGAGAGTGTTAAATGACAGAGATCGTATGGGAGAGCATCTCGTACAGTTAACATTGAGGCCAACTTTGTACGTGCCATTCAACCAAAATATATAAATGGTTGTGTCCCTTTAATATATTGTAGGTCATGGAGATCAGTCCTTGTTTTCCTCTCTTCATCCTGCAGTTGTGCAGGGATTACCACGAGAGTGTTAAATGGCAGAGATCATATGGGAGAGCATCTCGTACAGTTAACATTGAGGCCAACTTTGTACCATTCAACCCAGATATATAAATGGTGGTGTCCCTTTAATATATTGTAGGTCATGAAGATCAGTCCTTGTTTTCCTCTCTTCATCCTGCAGTTGTGCAGGGATTACCACGAGAGAGTGTTAAATGGCAGGGATCATATGGGAGAGCATCTCGTACAGTTAACATCGAGGCCAACTTTGTGCCATTCAACCCAAATATATAAATGGTTGTGTCCCTTTAATATATTGTAGGTCATGGAGATCAGTCCTTGTTATCCTCTTTTCATCCTGCAGTTGTGCAGGGATTACCACGAGAGAGTGTTAAATGGCAGAGATCATATGGGAGAGCATCTTGTACAGTTAACATTGAGGCCAACTTTGTACCATTCAACCCAGATATATAAATGGTGGTGTCCCTTTAATATATTGTAGGTCATGGAGATCAGTCCTTGTTTTCCTCTCTTCATCCTGCAGTTGTGCAGGGATTACCACGAGAGAGTGTTAAATGGCAGAGATCATATGGGAGAGCATCTCGTACAGTTAACATCGAGGCAAACTTTGTACCATTCAACCCTGATATTCTACCACTTGACACAGACAGGACGTTGTTGGGGCAACCTTTCTTCCATATCTATTGGACTGAATGTGTAAGGATGTAGCTTTTACTTCTTTTATCTTTCAATCATTGAAGCAACTTGCCTGCTTCAGCAACAATCTCAATTGAGAATTTGAAAAATCCAGTGAATTCAAAAATGTTATCTCCTAACAGCCTAGATGCGAGAAGAAATAATCTTGATTTTTGTCATTCAAAATTCAGTCAAGCTAATGTCATATCTGAAATCTACGTGAAAAAGTACATCTAAAAGACCCCATGCTATAAAATCACAAGAAGTGAAATATCTTTTCTTGTATTGGACAGATAATATTTTCCTCTACTAGACATATTTTAATTTGCATAACTATTAGATACACATGGGTGATATGACAGTTGATCCACTCAACTGATAAGTATTCAAGTTAAAGGGAACTTTCTACTATACCTGCCGTGCTATCTGACCTGAATGAACCAGAACCATTCAAATCTTTTATTAAACTGTAAATAACCAAGGGTTCAGCTTTTTGGGTCACTATGTATACCAGTAATTATCCCATCGAACGAAGTTCGGAGGGATATAGGGAACGCCTCCGTCCGTCCGTCCGTACGTATGTCCGTCCGTCCGTCTGTCCGTCCGTCCGTCCGGGCAATAACTCAAATACCGTTGGCCCGATTTTGTTCATATTTTGTACACATATACCCTATGGGGGTAGAAGTTCTGCTCGAAAGCCGATTTTCAAAATGGCCGCTCATTTCAAAATGGCGGCCATTTTAGTGCCGATTTTACAGTAATTTAGGTGCAATATGTAAAACTGTAATAGCAATATGTTTTAAATGTAAAAAAATTATAAAGGACATTAATAGTGCTACAAATGTAGATATTAAAGAAGCACATGGCAGCCATCTTGAAAAATGGCGGCCTTTACTCGTCATTTTACGATTTTTGCTGTAACTCAAAAAATAGTGGAGCGATTTTGTTCATATTTGGTATGTGAATACTATAAGCATTGCACACTGTCTAAAGACACTTTTGGTAGAAGGCGGCCATTTTGAAAAATGGCCGCCATTTTGACGTATTTTACTATAACTCAAAAAGTAGTGGAGCGATTTTGTTCATATTTGGTATGTGAATACTATAAGCATGGCACATTGTCCTATGACACTTTGGGTAGAAGGTGGCCATTTTGAAAAAAAATTGAAAAGTGGCCGCCATTTTAACGTATTTTACTATAACTCGAAAAGTAGTGGAGCGATTTTGTTCATATTTGGTATGTGAATACTATAAGCATGGCACACTGTCCTATGACACTTTTGGTAGAAGGCGGCCATTTTGAAAAATGGCCGCCATTTTAACGTATTTTACTAAAACTCGAAAAGTAGTGGAGCGATTTTGTTCATATTTGGTATGTGAATACTATAAGCATGGCACACTGTCTATTTCTAATGACACTTTTGGTAGAAGGTGGCCATTTTGAAAAATAGCCGCCATTTTAACATATTTTACTATGACTCGAAAAGTAGTAGAGCGATTTTGTTCATATTTGATATGTGAATACTTTAAGCATGGCACATTGTCTAATAAAACTTTGGGGAGAAGTCAGCCATTTTGAAAAATGGCCACCATTTTTATGTGTGTTATTTTACAAGTACGTGTGCAATTTTTCAAAAATTTTAGAGGTGGCTACTTAAAAGCATATTATTTCTTCTGATGACAACTTGGCTAGTGAGCAACCATTTTGAAAATGGTGGCCTTTCTGGTGTGTTGTTTTTATGATATTTGCTATTCGTTTGTAAAAATGCCAGCCATTTCTGTTCGATGGGATTCGCTACGCTTTGGCGTTGCCGTTGTTCTGGTTACATTATAAAACATGTTATAATACACTTCAATTTTATTTAGGATATTGATGCATACAAGCTACATGTGAGGGATGACATCACTAATTGGTTGACAGTGCTGAAGGCTCGTAACATCCCTGATTGGCTAATTGTTGTCGTCACAAATGACGAGAGTAAAGTTAAAAACAAGCTTTTGCCAAGGACGTCAGTTCTTGATAAAGTGAAGTCTGACTTCTGTACTAAGCAGAGTGATAGGTACATACACTCCCCTCCATAAGTTTTGCAACTGGAAGCCTCCTTATAGATTACATATCAAAGCAATTCATCAGTCATAAAATCCCAAACTTGTAAATTAGGACCAAAATACAGATTAAGCATTCACAGGCTTTGATTTGCCATTTAAAGGAAACTTGTAGTTGCCAAGCTTATGTAGGGGAGAGTAATTGCTTTGAAGTGTCAACTTGACAATCTCAGCAGATCAGTAATAAAGCCTAATAGGCTGAATATAGCTGCTATATTGTATGTTATTGCCATAACAACAATAGTGCATACAAATCTGATATCATATTATGAGTTGTTGCTGTAGTTACTATGGTTCCCATTATTGTGGCGAATTTGATCAGTTATGTTCAATTAGTCTAATATTTTCAACATTTTGTTTTGTTTTCAATTAGTCTTATATATACAAAATATTTACCATGTTCTCTCAAAAAATTCACTGTGCTGACTCACATAAGTGATGTCTCCGACAACAAAATTTTTGATTTTTCGAAGATACATTAATAACATTATACAAGTAAATGTTAACCATACATGAACATGCTCAGTACCAACCTCACGATTGTATATGCTCACGATTGTATATGCTCACGATAGTATATGCTCACGATAGTATATGCTCACGATTGTATATGCTCACGATTGTATATGCTCACGATAGTATATGCTCACGATTGTATATGCTCACGATAGTATATGCTCACGATTGTATATGCTCACGATTGTATATGCTCACAATTGTATATGCTCACGATAGTATATGCTCACGATTGTATATGCTCACAATTGTATATGCTCACGATTGTATATGCTCACGATTGTATATGCTCACAATAGTATATGCTCACGATTGTATATGCTCACGATTGTATATGCTCACGATTTTATATGCTCACGATAGTATATGCTAACGATTGTATAAGCTCACGATTGTATATGCTCACGATTGTACATGCTCACGATAGTATATGCTCACGATTGTATATGCTCACGATTGTATATGCTCACGATTTTATATGCTCAGTGTACCTCAATTCTATCTTATGCTTTTGAAATTATTCATTGTTGAAGAATGTGTAATGGTGTCTGATTTAGAGATGTAAGTCAATAAAAGTCAATGTTACTCTGCTCCTCAAAGTTCAACTTTATTGGTATGATTGAATTAAAAGTTGGCCTTCACATTTTCACTTGAAGGACAAGTTATTTTGTCTCTTAGACAGAATTACTAAAATCTAATTTACAAAATGACATGTTCTTTATTACTAAAATGTACTTCCATTTATGCAAATATGTCTTTATTTTAATCTTAAACGAAATAAAAAGTTGGTAATTGGGTTCTAAATTACACCTAATCACCCTTGGGAAATAAGTATTTAACGTGATTTGAACTGTAATTTGTGTCCTTTGTAAATTGTTTTAGTTTTTGCTAAAGATATTCCATGCATGACATTCCTCGATCGTTTATGTCAGTTGCCAATGTTGCAAAAAGTACTTGAAAAGGGGAATTGAATTTGCAAAATGTACCTCACGGTTGAAAGTATGTGCCTTTTGAAAGATATTGCAGGAGTATGGGAAAAGGGGAATTAGGGTTGTATGTTTTAAGTTCTATTGTGCTAAGAACTATTCACTCAGCATTGGTGTATTCGGAGTGTCTTATATGGTAATAATTGTAATGATCATTATTTTTTGCTGATTGTTTTTGCTTTCATTTCTCAGTTCTATCTTTAAGAATGTTTCGGTCCTAGGCCTATATTTTACCATTTTGGAGACAAGGAACACTTCTTAGCCTTAAAGCTTTAATTTACTTCAGGTGCACAGTTTTGACTGATCCATTTAAGAAGAATGAGGCCAAGACACTGGAATCGTGGTATTACTTGTTGCTGCGCATCAGAACTCTACTACTAGATGCCTATAACAGAAATCTTGGCAGGTTTGAAGAAAATATGAGATTTCAGAGGGAGAAACGAGTCGAGTCTGGTTGGAAATTTACAGATTACTTTCTCTTGCAAGTAAGATACCCTATCAATACAGGGCGTCCATAAAGTCTCTATACTAGTTAATGGTCTTTATACTTTAATACAGACTTTATAATCATTTCTAACCTTTTGAAACCCAGGCTCTAAACTTGGTATGAATTCAGAGAATTTTTGCCAGCTTTTGAGATTTTACTACATTCACATACATATTTACAACAGGTGGTGCTCAAATTAGTAAAATTAGTCTTCACAGATCATTTCTACACATTTAAAAGTTATTTTGTGTAAATTGGATGAAATTTGTTCAAATTAGAGCAATTTTAGTGAAAAGTGTTGTGACAGATTATCTCGTCACTCTGGGTTTCAAGGTCATTTCTAAGATGACAAGAAATCTTGTCACTCTGGGTAGTCAAGAGGTTAAGATAATGCAATCTGCTCACCAAGGTGTTATGGACTTAAACACCTCTGAAAAATACATGTAACCAGTAGATAATGTTTCTGGGTGTACATTTCAGTCGTGTGAAAGCGAGTTAAACCTATTATTAATTTTGAATATGAGAACCTAAGACCAGAATATGCAAGGGACAAATGCGGAAATTAATCTCTGTTTTACTGCAAATGATCTTATTAGATTTTAGGAAATATATTAAAATCATGTCAATTAATCTAGAATTCAGCACTGATGAGTGCACCTGAAATCTTTGTTGTGTACCCAGAATTTCACCCATATAATATATAAGATATTGTATATAAGATCCAATATTTAATGTTGAAAATAGCATGATGATAAATCATATGATAAAATCAATAACAATTCAGTTCATGAGTTTTCAAAAGAATTTTAAGAGAATATAATTTTGTGCTCTCTTATATGTTACACTACATGCATGCCAAAAATCATCTAAATAAATGATTTGATATTTAATGTGCATGCAATGTTATTGTCCAGGAGGAGCTAGCATTTGTATATGAAATGCTAGGAGCAAATGAAGAAGCTCTGGTGCAGTATGATGAGCTAGATGCCCTTTTCACCCAGTTCGTCCTCAACCATTCAATGGGAGGTTAGTCAGTTAGTATAGAGAGATTCATATAATGAATACATGTCGTGATCGGAAGGTAGGGTTTAATAAAGGCTATTATCGCAATGTAATTCATACTTTTAAGCAATGTTTGTATTGAGTTACCGATTGTGTATTATTATTGTAATCACAATCACATAATTGCTAGGGAGAAATCTTGAAACCTCTCATTAGTCAGTCAGCAAGACAGTTCTCACATCTATATGGTTTTATTTATACAAGCTTGTATGAGACTGTCATACATTGAGCCAGGTGAAATTATCAATTTTGCCAATAACCAATTTGCATAAATTTTTGTTTTCTATTTTGTTGTTAATTAAAGAATATGGCCAAAACATTCCAATGTTGCATTAACTTTGCTGTTTTTGTTTATCCTGACCAAGAATATGTCAAATGACATATGCAGAAGTTCAAGGAGTCACTAAAATGCTTATTCCATGGAATTGTTCATTTTAGCTTATCAGTGCTCAAATTTCCTCAAACAAGATCTGATAGAACAAAGAGGTTTCTTTCCTGTCTTAGAAGTATTAACATTAGTATTATGGACACTCTTGACTTTTATGTAAGACCACTTATGAGTTGAATATAGATTATTCATTATCATTTTCAGATGTCTCTGAGTGGCTCTTCTCCTTCATCGAACCCCCAAGTACGTGGGAAGGCGTCACACTTGAGAAGCCAATCAATTTTAAAAAGAGGGAGTTAATACGGCAAAACAAAGCATCCCTGCTGGACTTCAGAAACTATTTGTTTTCCCGTCAGTGCAGTATCTTGTTGTCTCTAAAAAGACCATGGGAGCTAGCACAAAGAGCTATGGAGTTCCTACATAACTGTGTACAAGAGGTTGCCATATTAGAGGTATTGAAAAAGGCCTGGTGGTAACGGAAGTTTGCACACTTAGTCATACTGATCCTGGTTGAATGTAAACTTGTATAAAGAATTGTATTAAATGGATTAAGATCAACATCAAAAAATATCTTCTTTTTGTATTTATTTTAGGAGTGATCATTAGATATACTAGAAAAAACTGTTTTGAGGTCAATATGGAGAGATCTGTAATTTACTAGGTCACCAGATAAGCCAAGATCCCATATTTAGTTTGAACCTAAACAAGAAAAAACTTCATTGCTGAAAAAAAGTTGCATAAAACGAGATTCACGAGTCAGACAGAGTGTGACATAAGCATCCATAAAGAGTTCGCTTCTTTCTATTAGGGTCAGCTTAACCTCTCAGCACTTAAAAAAGCCAGGGAAAAATGTTTTATTCATCATTCAAATATGACCCATGGGTCTGAAATCATTATGAAAAAAGCCTGCTGTCAGCCCTTATTGTGTGTAACATATAATCATCAGATTTGATTCAGGTTTCTAAAGATTCCTAATAATATGTTCTATTGAACACAGACTGAATAGCCTTTGTTATTCTAATGCTATTTCCAAACAGCAGTGAACTGGAAAGTTTTCTGAGAAGTTGATGGATTTTCAATAAAATGTCAAAATAACTTTTTATTTCCTTGATTAATTCAATGTGGATAGCCTGAATAAATACTGTAAAACTTGAAGTTTAAACACCTCTAAATCTGGTCACCTACATAACATGTGAATGATTTCTTGATCATACTTTTATCGGTCACAGGTTCCCATGGGGTCGTGAGTTCAAGACAAATGAGCTACTTGCATTTATTCTATGTTAAGGACAGGGTGCATGTTGGGAAATTTTCTGCATTCCTCAATTGAGTCACATGTTATTTTTCAAACATGAATAACTCCTTCCCCACATTGTCTACATCTTCCAAGTTTGCACAAAGAGTGCACCTCTGTGCCTAGAAAAGCCTTGTGAGAAGGTTTGTTTTGTAAAATGTATAAAAAATGAGGAAATTCAGTGAAAAAAATTCCTGAACATTTTCTGATTTTTTTCACTGAATTTTCTTGTTTTTTATACACTTTATCAAAACATTCTTCTCACAAGTCTTTTCTAGGCATATAAGTGCACTCTTTGTGCAAAACTGGAAGATATAGACAATGAAGGGAAGGAGTGATTCTTGTTTGAAAAATAACATGTGACTCAATTGAGGAATGCAGAAAATTTCCCATCATGCACCCTGACCTTAAAAACCTCAAAATGGGTTCACTTCACAATCCAAAAACCTTTTGCTTGTTCTAGTTGGGTTTGAATTCGACAGGCTTGCTGTGATAAACATGCATTTGTTTGTAGGTTGCCATGCCGCCTGGCTCTATATCATGCTGGGTGTTTGTTAGTTGCCTAGAGATCCTACAGGCGTGTGAACACTTCAAAGAAGTTGAGGCATACTCACTTTTCACAGCAAGTTTATGGGAATACGCCAGAAAAAAGGTCAGACACATGTATTTTAGCTCTGATTGGTTAATATCATTATTACACATATTAATATAATTCTCCAGATATTGCATTTATGCACATCAAATGAACTTTGTATTGGAGGTGTCATTGGTCAGATACCCTTTGCATTCGTTCAACTTTGCTTCTCAAAAGAGAGCTTGTCTTCACTCTCACTTTTCAATAAATCTGAATTCACTGCGCTAATCTGAGTTTGTCGTCGGGGCTGCTAAGCTGTAATATAGTCTACAAGGCAGAGGATAGTATATAACTAGACTCTGCATGCAGGGCATATGCCAGACAGGACATGATTTAACATACATGTATCAGCGTATGAAAATTAAAAGAAACTGAATTATATTTATGGAACAGAAGAAGATCTTGGATAACCAAAAAATGATGACATCACAAAACACATAAGTTATGATATACCCCTTCTGAAATTATTTTGACCCACTCCTCGTACAATGCCATAATAACTACTTCTGTATTTTATGTACTTCAGCTGCTTGAACTTGGCAAACTCTGTGGGCTTCTACCAGGAGATGATCCAACAACACAGCAACTTACAGCAGTGGTTGACCTCATAGCTGGAATCAGCCAAATATCTGGTACGTACATGGGTGAGTTATGGCTATTAATTTCAAATGAAATGCTTGCCCCCATTTCAGTTTTCATGAGATACCTATAGAACCAAGAATTATGAGAAGCATCCTAAGGAATGTATTTGTAGGGAAATTGAAAGTGTTGCTTGCTATTTTGTCACCCCTGTAAATCTTATTCCGCCGGTGCCATTGGTGAAACTAAATTATTGTATAGGTTTAGATGTTATTATGTTTTGCAGGATCTGGGAATTCCAGTGGGCCAGTTGAGAAACTAAATTATTGCATAGGTTTAGATGTTATTATGTTTGTATAGGTTTAGATGTTATTATGTTTTGCAGGATCTGGGAATTCCAGTGGGCCAGTTGAGAAACTAAATTATTGTATAGGTTTAGATGTTATTATGTTTTGCAGGATCTGAGAATTCCAGTGGGCCAGTTGAGAAACTAAATTATTGTATAGGTTTAGATGTTATTATGTTTTGCAGGATCTGAGAATTCCAGTGGGCCAGTTGAGAAACTAAATTATTGTATAGGTTTAGATGTTATTATGTTTTGCAGGATCTGAGAATTCCAGTGGGCCAGTTGAGAAACTAAATTATTGTATAGGTTTAGATGTTATTATGTTTTGCAGGATCTGAGAATTCCAGTGGGCCAGTTGAGAAACTAAATTATTGTATAGGTTTAGATGTTATTATGTTTTGCAGGATCTGAGAATTCAAGTGGGCCAGTTGAGAAACTAAATTATTGCATAGGTTTAGATGTTATTATGTTTTGCAGGATCTGAGAATTCCAGTGGGCCAGTTGAGAAACTAAATTATTGCATAGGTTTAGATGTTATTATGTTTTGCAGGATCTGAGAATTCCAGTGGGCCAGTTGAGAAACTGAGTGAGGCATTACAGACTAAGGAGTCGTTCCAAAGACAATATTTGGTAGGTAGATTCATTACTTGTGCAATATCTGATATTGTACATTATCCTACACTTAGTGTACTAAATGTATAATAACATTAAGAAATAAATTTGATATTTATTGGCAAAATGAATATCCGGAGGATATCGTAACAATATACTCCGGAAAACCCAATATGCGGAGGATATCGTGACGATATACTCCGGAAAACCCAATATGCGGAGGATATTGTGACGATATACTCCGCTTGTTGATTTCCCGCCAAATTGACTCTATTTGGCATGAAATTCATTTTGCAATGATATTATACATTTAGAACACTCCTTGTAAGTGTAGGATAATAAGAACATCCTATGATTTTTTCAGAATATCATTTTAATCTGCTCGGTGATATTGATATATGCACTCGTTCGCTTTGCTCTCTCGTGCAGATATCAATATCACCTCGTAGATATTCCTCAAAATCATAGGATATCCTATAAATATCTTGTACAATATATGTAAGGTATACAGAATGGAAAATTTCTTCAGTATCGCTAATTTTCTTTTGTCAAGGAATAAAATTTTTGATTAAGGAGGGAATTGTTGATGGTGAAAAATGTTAATATTTTGCAGGGCCTTTCTGAGCTTACTATGGGAACTTACAAACACATTGGCAGAATTCGTTCTGCTAGATTGATTGGCCGAGACTTAGCAGAGTTTTACATGTAAGTTGTGAAAACCTGTATAATGTGCATGTCATGATATGGAACACAGATATTATGACTGATTTGTACAGTAATACCATACAACTACAGTACCAGGACTGATAATAAATTCTGGGAAAATGCTCTCAAATGAAGAGTTAAATGACTTTTTTTATTTAAATTTTTATAGATGTCAAATAATGTCAGGTATTAGCCTTCTTTTTAGATTTTCGAACCTGATTTTTATGACTGCCATCTATGATATTCAATGTAACTCAGTATAACCATATATGCCATTATCTTACATAATATGGGGAAAATATCAAATACAAGTAGAAACAGATGAAACTCTTTAAGAGGCTTTTTTCAGAACTTATTGATAGCCCTTGTATATAACAAACATACATGTAAGTCTCGACTTGGCTTTTCCTTGACGTCACAGCTCCTATTCATTTGCATATTATAATCACAAAGCTATCACTTGAATTACTGTATATTTAACTGTCCTCTCTATGCAATGTTTATAGGCAACTGGGAGAGCCTAGTAAAGCTGAAGGATTCTTGATGGATGCCTTAAAGATTTACCACCATGAGAAATGGGACATGCTAGCAGATAGCACCAGAGTGGACCTTGGAAGGTGTCAGAAGCGACAAGGCAGCACATCAAAGTATCCTTCACCTAACCATGAAAACTGCTTATCTGTTCAACTTGAAATTTATAAAGATTAATTTTTTAGATTAAAGATTAATAATTAATAAAAGCAGACTTGTGCCAAGATGTGTTAAGATTTGGGGTATTTTGTACCTCGATCCCTTTCAGGAAGAAGGAAAAAAACTTGTCAAAGTGCAAATTTTACCACCTTTCATAATGTTCATAATTACTCAGTCATCCATGACATTTAAATTATGATCTAGGTACAGTTTGATGGAGGAAATACTAGGCCATTTACTGCTGCCTTTGTATTTCAGAAACATTGCTCAGTATTCTAGTAATCTACCTTTGAAGTTAGGTATACAATTTATGGACACCCTGTATATGATTTAACAAACTACAAAGCATGAACAAATGTAAAATAAAATAAAATGGCATACAATTTCTTAGCTGTTCTCAGATATGCCAGGTCATGTTCCCATGTTGCCAGTAGTAGGTATTTGCCACAGGATGTAAAGATGGAACATTACAAAGACTTGTTACACATTGCTGGATCATATCAAGGTGCAGTATATTCACAATGAAGATAAGATACCTTATGCACTGTATCAAAAATAATGAACATAAACACTCAAGAGATATATTGGTGTCAAAATTATGAACATATACTCTCAACAGATAAATTGTTATTCATGAAAATATAACAACATATTTTATTTATTTCTTTCAGATGATGGGCCATTATTGTTGAATGCACGTCCTGCCTTTACTGTCAAAACCATTGAACTTGAGGAGGCAACAATCATTACAGGAGACGATGCCTCAATCAACATGATATTGACCAATCATCTGCCAGAGACAGTAACATGTGACCTCATTAGCATATCATTGAATCACAAACCAATCAAAGTACAAGAACCAGAAATGGCTAAAACCAGGAAGCGGAACTCCAGTGTGTCGAGCTGCAGTGACTCAGAACTTGGCAGTTCGCTAAACTCGTCTCAGTTTGAGGACATGTTGCTTGATATGAGGGAGCATAAAGACAGGAAAACAGCCGCCACTAGTGTAGTATGCCACAATATTGCGGCAGTAATGAGAGGTAGGGGAGTAAACCCTCAGATTTCTCTGCATTATATTAATCTTCTCAATGTTTTGATAATTGCTTATTAATGGCACCTGTCACCTTTAAAGTGTTGATTGATTGGTTATCTGTTAGTGTCAGTATTAGAAGATTACCTTTTATGTCACAACCTTACAGTGCTGACATATTCTTTGATTACCTTTTATGTCACAACCATACAATGCTGACATATTCTTTGATTACCTTTTATGTCACAACCTTACAGTGCTGACATATTCTTTGATTACCTTTTATGTCACAACCATACAGTGCTGACATATTCTTTGATTTTCCTCTATAGGTCATCATGATTCTGGACCCCACAATGTGATGGAGCGAGAAGCTAACAAAGGAGATTATACTATCAGCCTCTCATGTTTAAGTGTCACTCTCAAACCTGGTGAAAATCAAGTAATCCTGACTGGAAAGGTACATTAAACAAGTGTCCTGTTATATATTTTAATTGTGAAAGAAACTGAACAAATCTTTAACCTCTTGACTACCCAGAATGACGAGATTTCTCGTCACCTAAGAAATGACCTTGAAACCCAGAGGGACGAGAAAATCTGTCACAAAACGTTCACAAAAATTGCTCTTATTTGAACAATTTTCATCTAATTTTCACAAAAATTGTTGTAAAACGTGTAGAAATGATCTCTGCCATCTAATTTTACTAAGTTGAGCATCTTAACTTGTATAGGTATGTAGTAAAATGTCAAAAGGTGGCAAAAATGAAAAAATTCTCTGGTTCAACCGATTTTAGAGCCTGGTATTCAAGAGGTTAAAAGGCAGTTTGGCAATAAGATACAAATCTTTAAATAGTATGATAATTAAGAAAATATTAAAGTAGATTTGCGATTCATTCAACTAAGCTAGTTTACATTTCCAGGATGTGTAAGAATGCAATCCTATTTAAATCATGTATAAACTGAGCGTGAAGTGACTTTTTGGACACACTGCCATATTATCTATCCCTTATAAAACATTAATGCCATTTTGAGTACTCAATTTACTCAAAACTCACCAATATGAGGGCATAGGTCACATGCAATATTATTAATGTAAATTGCTTAATACAATTTTGTCTTGTTGTTTCAGACTGCTGATAAGGGTAGCTATACAGTAGAATAGATGTGTATTTTGTCTTGTTATGTTTCAGACTGCTGATAAGGGTAGCTATACAGTAGAATAGATGTGTATTTTGTCTTGTTATGTTTCAGACTGCTGATAAGGGTAGCTATACAGTAGAACAGATGTGTATTTTGTCTTGTTATGTTTCAGACTGCTGATAAGGGTAGCTAAACAGTAGAACAGATGTGTATAATGTCTTGTTTTGTTTCAGACTGCTGATAAGGGTAGCTATACAGTAGAATAGATGTGTATTTTGTCTTGTTATGTTTCAGACTGCTGATAAGGGTAGCTATACAGTAGAATAGATGTGTATTTTGTCTTGTTATGTTTCAGACTGCTGATAAGGGTAGCTATACAGTAGAACAGATGTGTATAATGTCTTGTTTTGTTTCAGACTGCTGATAAGGGTAGCTATACAGTAGAATAGATGTGTATTTTGTCTTGTTATGTTTCAGACTGCTGATAAGGGTAGCTAAACAGTAGAACAGATGTGTATAATGTCTTGTTTTGTTTCAGACTGCTGATAAGGGTAGCTATACAGTAGAATAGATGTGTATTTTGTCTTGTTATGTTTCAGACTGCTGATAAGGGTAGCTATACAGTAGAATAGATGTGTATTTTGTCTTGTTATGTTTCAGACTGCTGATAAGGGTAGCTATACAGTAGAACAGATGTGTATTTTGTCTTGTTGTTTCAGACTGCTGATAAGGGTAGCTATACAGTAGAACAGATGTGTATTTTGTCTTGTTATGTTTCAGACTGCTGATAAGGGTAGCTATACAGTAGAACAGATGTGTATTTTGTCTTGTTGTGTTTCAGACTGCTGATAAGGGTAGCTATACAGTAGAACAGATGTGTATTTTGTCTTCTTATGTTTCAGACTGCTGATAAGGGTAGCTATACAGTAGAACAGATGTGTATTTTGTCTTCTTATGTTTCAGACTGCTGATAAGGGTAGCTATACAGTAGAACAGATGTGTATTTTGTCTTGTTGTGTTTCAGACTGCTGATAAGGGTAGCTATACAGTAGAACAGATGTGTATTTTGTCTTCTTATGTTTCAGACTGCTGATAAGGGTAGCTATACAGTAGAACAGATGTGTATAATGTCTTGTTTTGTTTCAGACTGCTGATAAGGGTAGCTATACAGTAGAACAGATGTGTATTTTGTCTTGTTATGTTTCAGACTGCTGATAAGGGTAGCTATACAGTAGAACAGATGTGTATTTTGTCTTGTTATGTTTCAGACTGCTGATAAGGGTAGCTATACAGTAGAACAGATGTGTATTCAGGTAGAAGCGTTGGAGTTCATCAAGAATAAGGTGGCTCCAGATCTTAAGTATGAAGTTGTAGATGACTCACCTGTCATTGAGTTCACACTTTGTCAAGGTATGATTCATTCCTACACATTTTAGAATGTATGATTCATTCCTACACATTTTAGAATGTATGTAATGTTCTTAAACATTATCTCCTCTCTTCTCTAGAAAGTCCATATTGGCGTAAATGGCTCAATCGTTTGAGTAGAGTCTCCCATACAGTACATGTGCAAACAATCTAAATCTATTTGATGTATAAATGTACATAGTAAATTCGATGATTGTTTTCAAGGTGCCTGGTTGATTCTTAAAGATGAAAAGTGTTCACTGCACAGTGAAATTGATTTTGTATGATCAAGATTTCAAGAAATATTGCAGATTCCTAATAATGGATCTTACTTTTTATAAATCCCCTGTTTTTTTAGCTCACATGGTGAGCTATTGCAATCACTCACTTGTCCGTCTGTCTGTCCATCCGTCCGTCTGTCTGTCTGTCCGTCTGTCTGTCAACAATTGGCCAGTTTTAAAACCTCTGTCAATAGGATTCCCGTTTTAATTTTGTTACAAAAAATGGGCAAAAAATTTTATCCGTTTTTTTATTTTCAGCCGTTTTAGTTAACATTGATTTGTCAATCTATCTCGCAAAATCCACTTTTGGACCATTTGCTTTAAAACCTCTGTCAATAGGATACCCATTTTAAGTTATTTTTGTTCAACATCAATGTAGAAAACTCCTCTATGACTCCTGGTTCAAAAGCTCGCCTATTTTCAAAATGGTCACCATTTTTGTCTCGCAGAATTCACTTTTGGTCCATTTTCTAGCTTTACAAATAATTTCAGGTGTCCTGCTTTGTAAAAACCCATGTCACTGTAAAGAAAAGTTGTATGAAATAATTTTGTAACAAAAAATTGGCAAAAAGTTATATTTTCAGCCATTTTAGTTAACATTGATTTGTCCATATGTCTCGCGAAGTCCACTTTGGGACCATTTGCCTTAAAACCTCTGTCGATAGGATTCCCGTTTTAACTTATTTTGTTCAACATCAATACAGAAAACTCCCCTTTGACTCCTGGTTCAAAAGCTCGCCTATTTTCAAAATGGTCGCCATTTTTGTCTTTGCAAAATTCACTTGTGATCCATTTCCAAACTTTACAAATAATTTCAGGTGTCCTGCATTGTAAAAAGCCATGTCACTGTAAAGAGTAGTTGTATGAAATAATTTTGTTACAAAAAATCGGCAAAAATTACACCCATTTTTTTATAAGTTATTTTTGTTCAACATCAATACAAAAAACTCACCTATGACGCCTGGTTCAAAAGCTCGCCTATTTTCAAAATGGCTGCCATTTTTGTTTCGCGAAATTCACCTTTGGCCCATTTCCTAGCTTTACAAATTATTTCAGGTTGCATTGTAAAAAGCCATTTCACTCTAAAGAGAAGTTGTATGAAATAATTTTGTTACAAAAATCGGCAAAAAATCATGTCCTTTTTTTATTTTAGTTAACATTGATTTGTCCATATGTCTCTCAGTCAGTCCAAAATAGTGGCAAGTTTTAAAACCTCTGTCTGTCAACACTTGGCTCTTTTTAAATCCTCTGTAGATAGGATTCCGTTTTAAAATATTTTTGTTCAACATCAATTAACTTGTGTCTCCTGCTTCAAAATCTCGCCTATTTTCTAAATGGCCACCATTTTTGTCTCGGAAAATTCACTTTTGGCCTATTTCCTAGCTTTACAAATAAGTTCAGGTGTCCTGCATTGTAAAAAAAACATGTCTTTATAAAGAGTAGTTGTATGAAATAATTTTGTTACAAAAAATTGGCAAAAAATTATATCGTTTTTTTTTTTATTTTCACTTCTGAGCACCCACGGTACTAATTTTTTTCATTTTTTTTGTCTTATAATTTCAGAAATATTCCGTGATATCCCTTTCAAAACAAACCTTACAGTTCACACAGGTAGTCAACACATTGAAGAAAACTCTAAACTGAAAATAAAAATGCCTGATGGTGTTGCTATTCGTTTGAGAGAACTGAGCAACAGTGAAGTCCTTGAATCAGAAAGCGATAGTGTTTTCATGAACGGTGTTCATACCACTGCAAATGCTAATAATGAAGAGGACAACATTACAGATGGGGATATATTAAAAGTTGAAGAACAATCTGAAGTTGAGTTAACATTACCAGAGAAAATACCATATGAACATATAGTTATTCCATTAGAAATTATGTTCACAGTTAGTTGCAATAGCCCCACAGATACAAAGCTACAGGTAATTCAATTAATCTATGGAATTATTGTAACACATGATTTTATAGCAAGTTAAATGTGTAGCCAAAGCTAAAGTAATTGTAAGTTATGATTGTACCAAAAGCTGACAGATATCGTTGTCTAGGCAGACATATACCACTGTCGTCATAGTAATTTAGGCAAATAAATTAACATTTGCAGAAACACTCCTGATATATTTTAAAAAAGCTATTTTAATGTGTTTTTATCATTTATCCTGTGTCATGTGTTTTTTATTGATTTTTCATTTTATCTGCAGATGGAAATAATGAATCCCTGGAGTAGTGAACCAGCACTGAACAATTTCACAATATGCTACCCTCTTCAAGTGACTCATAGACTACATACAGCAGCTAAGTGGTAAGAGACATCACAATTTAAAAAAGTTTTAATGTGTTTCATTACAAAAAGCAGAAAATGTGTACGAATTTAAGTCAGGGTACAAAATGAATTGTAAAATTGTCATAATGAAATTAATATATCGAATGACATAACATGAAATAAGACCGAAATCTAGGTTTTCCTCGAATATACAAAGGTTACTATTATTACCCAAAATTGACAGGATTAAATCCTCAAAGGACGATTCTCGGTTTGGAGAACGAAGTTCATCAATCTAAATGAGCATTATCCCTGCTTCGGACAAATTTGATTTTTTTACATAATATAGATTTGAATGTCCTTTTTTGAATAGTCATAATTTAATTTGGGTAATATTTCTAGATTTTTCTCAAAAAAATATTAGCGCAGTACACTGATGAACTTCTTTCCCCAAATCGAGACTTAACACTCTATTTTTTAGAATGGGAATTATTTTTTGGAATGGGAAAAGTAAAATATAGATGAATTTCAAACACGAGTGAGATGGCTGAGATTTTATTTTTAATTTAACGTGAGGTATAACGTTATACCTAATGTTGAACATAGCATCTCTGACTCAGCATGAGGTATAACGTTATACCCAATGCTGAACTTGGCATTTCTGACCCAGCGTGAGGTATAACGTTATACCTAATGTTGAACATAGCATCTCGGACTCAGCATGAGGTATAACGTTATACCTAATGTTGAACTTAGCATCTCTGATCCAGCGTGAGGTATAACGTTATACCTAGTGTTGAACTTAGCATCTCTGACTCAGCGTGAGGTATAACGTTATACCTAATGCTGAACTTGGCATCTTTGACCCAGCGTGAGGTATAACGTTATACGTAGTGTTCAAGCACTAAACATGTACTATTTTTAGCTAATGCTCCCTCCCACCCTCCCCTTAATTGAATTAGGGTGTACTGGACTGGGAGGTCATGATATTATATGCTATTATGTAACTACTTTAATGCAATGTACTGTTATGTATTTTCTATTGTATTATAACGTAACTTCTATTAATTAACGCATTATAATATTATGTAACTTCTATTGTAGTTTATTGTTTTAATTAGTTAGGTACAATAAACTATTTGACCAACAGATTTAAGCCATGGGTCAATGATTCTGGCTTCATAACATACAGTCTAGTAGTTCTATAGTCATAAGTACAGCTGGGTATCTACTATCTAAGGTCGAGGGTCAAAGCACTATACTGGAATGCTCTCACTGGTGGTTACAATGAATAGACTACATTATGCTTGTGTTGTACATGTTGTATATTATCTATCTAGGCAAACAAATAGTAATCAGGTCTCATGATGCCAAGACCAAAAGAAAAGTGCAATTATGATTTGATATCTAACACTACTACATTTGAACAGATGGTTCAGAATATTGCCTGCTACAGTACTATATCCCTGATATTCAATGCTATTAAGCTCTATTATTTTGCTCTTAATTTTAATTTCTTAGTTGTAAATCTTTGTTATTTCAATTTTCTTAGTTTTGCAGGTAGAAATGTGCTTTTCAGACTTCTCAAAATTTAGCTAGTTTTCGCCAATTTCTCATTTCTTTCAGTAACCACCAACATTAGACAGCATACTGAAATACATGTACGTTAAATACTTTTGACTTTCAGATTTTCCCTGAAGTTAAAAATAAATAATATTTTAAATTTTCAAAAGGTTATGGAAAAGTGAGTGTTTAAGTGTTTTGTATTCACATTTGATTTAAATCAGGTGTCTCAATTGTTTATTCACACACTTTTATTATTGACTTTTAAAAGATGTTTTAGACAAACATTTCGCGAATAAGGTTTTATTTGTATTGATTGACTTATAGTGTATTATACTACGAACAAGGAAAAAATTGTCAAATTGGAATCCTATATTGTTACACACTTGTTAGTGTAGATGTACAGTATGTCATGTACACTCTTCATTTTTTCATCTTGCTTGATCTGGAGTAAACTGGCATTTTGTTTATGTTTTTAGAATTAATGTGCTAATTTATCTTAGTAGCCGTAAGCAATGTATAGAAAGGTCACATATGCTGTTGGAATCTGATATATCTCTATTCTCTAGTGCAGTGCTAAGTAATTTGTGTCCTAATCTCAATAGAAATATACAACTTTGCTATATTTTTTACCAGGTTGTAATAGTTATATCTGATAATTCAAGGTACATGTCTACTTTAATAATTATGAAAACCAAAAAATAAGAAGGAGGCTCCACAAAAATAACGCTTCCTTTGTTTCCTTTATCTGAAACATGGGCCAAGGGAAAAGTAGACGTAAGCTCAATATAGAAACTCATACTTTTGCCTATGATCTGAAATTCGCTCTACTCAGGTCCCAAACTACCAGAACTTTGAACTTTAACTAGATACAATGCGATAAAAAATGACTGTTGCAGAACTATTAAAATTACTGCAAATTTTAACTGAGCACGAATAATCACAGCTTTGTGATTATGATCAATATTTACAAGACTAACTAGATAGTGTAAGACTAACTAGCTGGTGTATATAATGTTGGCTTGGATTTTTCAAATAAACATAACAGGATTTGTATGGGACAAGACTGCTAACAATTCTAAAGTACTGGTTTATGAAAACACAGAATGAAATCCTGTGCTAAGGAATAGCCATGTGTCGGTAGAACCATTAATTACCTAAAAGACCTAACACCTTGAGACCTCAAACTTCTCAAGATATTCTTTTCTTACATTTTATTTATTATATATATTATTTACTCAATAATTATGTGATTTAAATGACATATCATTCACTGTGAACAAAATAGAACTTTTTGGTTGCTTATGCCACGATCAACCCCCCCCCCCCCAACTGAAAACCACATTTTTGGCGATCGCATTCCCTGACTGAAAGCTGGCTACGCCCCTAAACTACAAAATTATATTACTTTACATCAGTTACACACATGTTACGAGTATAATAACAAAATATCAGTGTGATGTTTCCATAATAAATGGTTTTAAAACATGAGTACATAAATTAATAATTTAAAGATGTAGTTTTCAATACAATCTCCCTTCAAATGGAAAATTGTAAATATCCCATGGGAAATTTATGGGTTCAAAAACTGCTGTAAAACACACCACCATTAATTCTCACCTTTAATACTTATAAACTGAATAAGGAATACAATCATTTTTGTGTCATCCTTTTTTATTTCACCATTTTCTACTAAAAGTGCATCAATACCATTCCACCCAATGCAATTGCATCAAGAAAAAAACATCAATACAACCCCTGTGAGAGATAATAGCTGGCATTCACATGACCATTCAGGGAATTGCATCTGTCCCCCAATAAAATTACTATAATCATATACCATGATCAAAATACTCCCTAGAGAAATATGTTCATACTATTGAGTGGATAATTCCCCCTGGAAAGGTAATACCAAAAATGCATTCTTCGTTTAAGTCTATGATTTGAAGGGTTATTGATTTAAAAGAAGTTAAATATACATTTATGTGCACTGGGACTAAGTTTTCTTTCTAGGATTTTTCTGTTAATACATCTTATAGATGTGAGAGGCAATTATCTGTCCATCTTACAGAAACTTTTTAATTTTATATGCATTAACCTAAATCACCAACCTTAAAAAAGAACAATTACACTTGAAACAAAGATTGTATTAAAATCAGTGATTGGATAGATTTTCCATTCACAAATGTTATAAGGCATTTTTGCACTAGTTAAACCCTGAGAATTGTACAGGCTGAGTGATCTTACCCTGTTGTACACCCAAAGTTTAATTTAAAGATGGTCAAATTGATATCTCCTATGTTCAAATCAATATGTAGTAAACAATAACAATGACACATAGAGGTATACTGTATATCAGCAGTCATATCACAAGAGCAAAAGAATCAATTTATTCTGTAAAAATCCTAAAAATAATACTCTATTCAAACTCACTTAAAAGTGGTACTTTTTTGCTAGAAGCTAAAATTTGTAAACAAACATTAGTTAGATAATATTACTTAATATTCATAAAAATCTAATTGACCCAAACAGAAGATTTCTTTTTGTTCTTTATTATTTATCAATTACAGAGGGGTTAATAAAATTATTATGTAAATATAATACTCTTATGAATTGTCATTTGCGGATCAATTTGATTAAAAGCTGAACTTGATTTTAAATAAGGGCAAATTGTGTAAGGTACTAATGTATTACAGTATCGATCAATGTACTATTTAATAAATTCCCTGAAATTATTGTAAGGGTAGTTAGCTTGTAAGGGTAGTTAGCTTGTAAGGGTAGTTAGCTTGTTCAAAGTCTTGTAAAGCCAGATGACCAGTAGGTCAGTGTAGTAACACATTAAATTCTCAGAAATTTAGCTGGCCATAAATATTGTTTCAATGACAGAACAGATTATCTTAATGTTTCAGTTTGAAATTCTATATCTCTGTTCATATGAGTATACTAGTATACTAGTAGATAGAATATCTGTATTCAGCTATTTGAATGTGAAAGCAACTTTTAATACTTGTAGTTCTATTATGCAGAGTTTTTACATTTCAATTAGACATTGGCATGGGGGGGGGTGGAATTGGTGATCGCACCCCCCCCCCCCATTACCAATAAAATATAACCATGAGAAGAAAAGAGCTTTAAATTAAATGCTTTTTATTTGAAGCTTCTTGCTCAATTTATTATGAAGGAAGTTGCATAATTTTTTGTAAAATTCAAGATAAATCTTAATTGTTGGCTTCTTATGCCACAATCACATCCCCTGACTGAAAATGGAATTTTTTGGCGATTGCACCCCCCCCCCCCCATGCCCTGACTGAAAGCTGGCTACGCCCCTATAGACATTTCCGTTTTTAAACTTCATATCCTGCAAATTCCTATATATTAGGCAATAAAATAAAAAAACGTTCTACCTGCACAATATCACATTGTGATTTAGATAGATAACTAGCTTGACTGACTGATATTCATTTGCCTTCATCATA